GTCCCTGCCCGTGGCAGGGGGTTGGAACTGGATGAGCTTATGGTCTTTTCCAACACTAACCATTTTATGATATATTGCCCACTATTGAAAATGGGACACTGAAGCACAGATTGTTACAAAAGCTTTCAACCTTTCTTGATCATTGATCAGTTAAAAAAACAATGACAACAACAAACAAAGCAGAAAAAATTCAGATCCCTCTATGAATTCATGTGTTTGGGAAGTGCCTTTCCCCAATACAGAATCATAGAATGGTCTGGGTTGGAAAGGACCTTAAGATCATCTCATTCCAGCCCCCCTGCCATGGGCAAGGATGCCTCACAGCAGACCATGTCACCCAAGGCTCTGTCCAGCCCAGCCTTGAACACTGCCAGAGATGGAGTATTTACCACTTCTTTGGACAACCTGTGCCAGTGCCTCACCACTCTCACAGTAAAGAATTTCCATATATCTAACCTGAGCTTCCCCTGTTTAAGTTTAAACCCATCACCCCTTGTCCTATTGCTAAAGTCCCTGATGAGAGTCCCAATATGATATTCCAGAGGAATTTCACTTGACAAAAACTTCCTACCATGACTAGAGCATGTTAACCTTTTGCAGACCAATGGACTTGGTTTAGCACCACCTTGAATTATTTAATGAAGTTCATATCTGAGGAAATCCATAGGGTTCTACTATAGAAATAGAGAGGGTAGGATTTGAGGTTTTTGCTGTGCTTGCAGCACAGAATTATATTCTGTGAAGTTTTAATCTAGTTGTGATTATATTAATTTTTCAGCTTTCTAGATAGACTCTTTGCGTGTCTGTTATATGATGCATCTTTCTAACTAGAAATCTTTCCAGTCAGCATAAGAGTCAGAGCAAGTGCAATGTCATACATAGATAGCACAGGCTTATTGTAGACACGCTGCAGGGAGCTGAACTGCGAGTCCAGAGGCCATCAAGTGACTTGTCTGAGGCCAGACATCAGTTTGATATCACAGAGGAATTACAGCCTGGGACTTCTGTGTGGTAGTTTGCCCAAATCATTAGTCAAAAATATTGCTTATGTGGCTGCAAAAGCACTGTATAGATTAGTTAATAGGTACGATCGATAGAAAAGTATTTTCTTACTCTGTTTTTCTGTGTTACAGGAAAAAAGAAAACCGTTCTTGGTATTAAAAAAAAAAAGGAAAATCGGTAGTTCTAGTAAAATAACCCATAAATGCAATTAACCTAAAAAGAGCTAAACAGCCAAGAGAACAGGTAGATGTAATTTATCTTTTTTCCTCAGCAAACGTCACTCATCTATATTGGAAGAGTGATATCTGGAGCAATCAGCCTGTATTTAACTTACCTGCCATAAGGTTTCTTTCTTCTTTTCTACACTTGTGCGTAGTTCAGGTTACAGATACAAAAGCATGCAAGAGCATTCTGAATTCTCTTCCACCAGCATGAGTAACAAAAGGTTTAGGATGCAACTTCACTGCACAACTTTGAGTTTATACAGCTTGGGTGTGACCCACGGTTGCAGTGTGGTTACGTTTTTGTAGTAGTGTCCTACGTGAGCATCTACTTATGATGGCTTTAATTGCACAATCTTGGTTCTAATTATACTTATTTAAAACTGGTGAACGGCTGAGGCAAGATAATAAACAGCATCCTGATGTCTTAATTACTAAGAGAGGAAAACATCCCAAACTGGATCTAATGAGGAAATACAGGCTTAAGTAGACAGAAGAAACTTAATTTTGGATGGTTTGGTTTGTGTCAGTTTAGGTTTTTGACAGTATGTGCAGAGGGCAGGTATAGACAAATACACATATTGTACAACATGGATGTATGGGACATGGAGTGATCTGATTAGTTTGTAATAGCATAAACCATTTTTTTTTAACTTTTCTCCAGGCAGGTCTGCCTGAAGCCCTTTCATGTAACTGCACAGAATTCATTCTTTCTTGGAAGCATACAGAGGTGCGACATTCTCATGATCTGTTCCTGGCATGTTTACCTGTAATACACCTTTCTTAATAAGAAGCAATACATCCCACTGAGTTGACATTGTTATTACTATGCAGTCACCTGTGTACCGGGGATTTCATGGCAGCCTCTGCTCTTAAGAATTTTTCTTTATAGCTTGGTGTTCATAGTACAGGTTATAGTTTCTCCATAGCTATTTGGCGTGGCATCTTGAGCTGAGCCCTGAAGGAAGCGATGGAGCTCTTGTTCTGGGTGAGCCCTGCCCACTCTTAATTTCAGACACTCTGCTCTGCTCTTGAAGCTCCCTCATGCTCTCTTCTCCCTCATTGTGTCACAATTTATCTAGAAACATCCCTGCCAATTGGTCCTGAGAGGAACTTGCGACTATTCCCAACTTTTGATGGACTGTACTGAGGAGGGAGGAAGGGGGGATTGCTTACTTTCCTCACCCCTACACTTCTACATTGTGGTTTTTCTGTCTGTTGCCGTTTTCTGTTTGTTTCCAAATTCATATCGCGATTGATGGCAACCTGGGCAAATTAACTACCTGCAGCTTAAATTTATTTTTAAATAAAAATCTAAAGTTTTATTATGGTTTCTTGTGCATTATCTTCAGTAAGAATTTGTGATCATGTCTGAATGTGCCTGACTGAAATATTGTCACCTGTCTGACAAAAGTTGACCATATCGAACTTCTGACATCTCTGTAGTTCAGAATTTTGGCCTTATTAATTCTGCTTTAAACATTTTATACATCTGACATCAAATCTAAATCTTCAGGCTTGGCAGACCTATTTGTACATCGTTGCTGCTTCACACCCTACTTCTGCAGTGTGGCCAGGTGGTTACTGTGCCTGTCAGTCATTACCTTTCCTAGCAGTCCCTCAAGAGGCTATATTGGCTGCAGTAATAGAGAGGCCTTAACACTACTTGAAAGTGGGTTTCAGGTGAGACCTGGTTCCTGGCAATATAGGATCAGGAACCTGCAAAAGAGGCCCCTGTATGCAAACACCATGGCAGAGGTGTGCAGTAGAGGCTGCCTGGGAATGAGTTACAGCGTGAAGGTTTGAAGACAAATGTATTCCTTCTCTCCAGTGACCTTACACTGGTGGGCAGAAAGTGTTAGTTACCTTCTGTTGCTGAGCTTCCAGATTAATGCAAGGCTCTCCCCTGTGTTTCATGGTGTTTGGGACTCTGCCACATTACATAGGAATTAAGTTACCTGTTTGAATGTGTACGTGTGTTGTCCGCTCTGGGACAGGCCTATGCCCACAGGTTACAGAAATATTGTTGTCATGGACCCCAAACATTACTTTTCCCAGTCTTTGTAGGCTTTTTTTCTCCCCATTCAGGGAGTTATAGGTGTCACAAAATACAGAAATTAGATGTTCTACTTTTTTAGGTAAGAAGCTTGAGAAATGAAGGAAGAAGAATCATCCTTAATCTTGTGATTTCTCACAGTATTTCCATGGAATGTACAATTCATTACAAAAGAATACAGTTCTAGGAATAGTTTTTATTTATTGCTGACAATTAGAATGTGCTTGAAAAGAGGCTATATTAATAATCTGATGGAAAAGTCAAAACCAGGAGTGTAACACAATGACATTTGATAAAACAGTGAAACTATTTCTACAGAAAAGGACTTTAATTTTCTAGAAAAGAGGACAAAAAAACCCAAAAAACCCCAAACAATTAGAGACTACAGAATTAAGCACTCTGAATCAGGAGACTTGATTCTATTGCAGTGTAAGAGGTCACCAACTTTTGCTCTTAAGTTCCTTGCTGTCATTACTGTCCCTGTATAGAGGAAGATGTCTTGCCACATTAATGCTGAAACAGGAGATTGATTCCACTGCATTATGCAGATGCTACTGCAATGGTTACAAATCCCTTGACATGTGAAAATTTGTCACAGGAGAAGTCTACTTGCAGCTGTAAGGGACCAGTCCTGCGAGGGGTGAACTCAAAATAAATTTTTGATCTCTCTCTTGGTGCCAGTGGTGCCAGACTGGAGGAAAAAAAGAAAAAAAAGAATTAATGCAGGCTTGCACTGTATTACCTTGAGATTCCCAAGAAGCAGCAGTGCATGATAACTGGGGCACCTGCAGTTACTTGACTCCCAGCCTTGGGTTTTGAGAATTGCTTAGGGTTTGAGGCTTTGTATAGACCAGGAAATGGGAAAAGATAGTACTGTTTTCATTTACTCTTGAATAGCCTGATGGAAATGAGCAGCACTACTTCATGCCTTGTTAGGGCTGGGTACAAGTTTGGATAGTCAACACAAACTGAGAATAGGAAAACTCTCATGTCAAAGATGAGCACTCTGTCCAATGCCTACTTGGTTCATATCCATTTTGGCAATAATATGATTTTTCTAATGACTGGGGTGCTTTGTTTTGTCTCTTCTTGGCCTAAATTGGTTGTCTTTCACTGGAATAATGTTTTCTGTATATTTTTATGGAATATGTCCAAATATTTACAGAGCCACAGCAAGTCGGGCTGCTTTATAATAAACCAAGCCCTAGGAAATAGGAACTACCCAGTACTGAGTTAATCCATAAAGCAGGAGAGTCCAGAAGAAAAGAAAAAAAAGTAATAGAACATTTTGCTCTTAGGTTTTGAAAAGGCATGATTTTCTCCTACTTTAAAGAACAGAGTAACTTCTTTTTTTGGGCTGAAGCTCAGACTTATTTTTGTGCTGCTAGGGTACTGTATATAAGAATATAAACACAAAGCCAAGGTGTGGAAAAAATATCAGAGAAACAGAACAATTTGACATACAGAATCATAGAACCAACTAGGTTGGAAAAGACTTTGACATGCCTGTTTTCTTGCCCATGAAAGAAGAATATTAGCAGGTTAAACAAGTTTCTACTTAGAAAAAATAAAACATGATTTATTTTTCCATCATAGTATCTCAATATATATTTGGTAGCATTTTTATTTTCATAAATAGAAAATACAAAAAGATAATTCAACTGTGATTTTTTTTCTTACTGAGGAAACTAGACATGCTGTTGGTCATGTTCAAAGCACTGTGAATGTTGCAGCTTTCACTTACTGTATCTTGACCTGTTGATTCATCAAAGTCACTAGTAGTACACAGCGGTTCACAGGTTCAGGAAGGGGATTGGCATATGAGATCTCTAGAGAAACAGCTTTGTTCACTACGACCCGCCGAGGAATCTAAATGGCAAAGACACATTTCTGATCATTCACTGTTTCACACTTTTTTGGAGTCGGGCTTCGGTCAAACTGTAAGCAGAACATCTCTCATATTTGAGGCTGAATGAGATATTGGTAGGAGCTGTGAAATTTAACTAACAGCTGGTATGCCTTTCTCAATACTTGAAGCTGGACTTGGGTTGGCTAAAAGTGCTGTCAAGCTGGATGCAATATTTTGTGCACTATTTCAGTAAATAGTCTTGACTATAGGGACACATCTCATTAAACCTGTCTGATGTTTGGGTTGCTAAGTGGGTTGTTTGTTTTGGTTTGGTTTTGGGTTTTTTTTTTTGTTGTTGTTGTGGTTTTTTTGGTTTTGGTTGTTTTTTTTGGGGGGGGTGTATTTTTTTTTCTTTATATTGGAACATCGTGGATTAGGGTTAAAGCATTAAAACAATATAAACTGTCCCTAATGTAGATTAGAATTAAGGGTTTAAGTGTTTATTTTGGGAACAGGCAAAGTTGTTCAAAGGCAACACAAATACTTGCCAATAACTAGAATACAAGTGAAATGAAAACAAGTTTTGTGAACATAAAGCAGGGGCATGTGACTGGGAAAGAAAGAAGGTAACAGAGCTGTTCTGAAGAACAGGGGGCAGATGCAGGCAAAGAAACTGCTTACTTGCATGCTTACTTTCTCAATTTAGGCAGGCAGAATTTTAGAGCAACATCTGAAACTGCAGCCTAAAATAATGCATTTATCCCCAGATTCTCATCTTAAAATCTGAGCTCCAGAAACACTCTTTAGTTCTTTCTGTCTGTTCAGGACGTCAGGGAGAGAATTGTTTACCTTAATGATGATGTTTGTGTCCTCTAAAATGATTGTCTTCTCCACCAGCAACTTTACCCCATGCATGTGGATGACTTCACACAAAGCAGTAACTTGAATCCTTTTGTCGGTAGTCAGATATTTTCCATAATAAGAATAAGGGATCTTTAATCGGATATGTTTCCCTGTAATTTGGACATATATTTAGGAATCATTACATTCTCAAAGAATGCTAAAGAAAAGAGAGTTATTCAGGGTTGTTGAAATTATTGAACAGAATATAAGACAGCTGAGTCTGTTTATATTTCTTCCTTGTGAGACTGGTTGTGTATTTCCCTCTTCTAGTGATCCTTTTCTTAATTCATTTGACCCTTACAGTTTTGAATGGAGGATTTTATCCTGAAACTAGGGGGATCTACTCATCAGCATTTCACTGGATTCCTATCTCTTTGTATTCCTTAAAATGGTATGTATAAGCATTTTTATCTATTCCATCCTTATGTCTATTTGTTTTATATATATATAATATATATGTTAGCTATAATATAAATGTAGCCTACTATATAACATTTCATGAGACCTTCAATTCCTGGTTGAACAGTCAAAGTTTTCTGAGTAAAAAAAAAAAAATCTTATGAAATGTACCCATAAACAATAATATTAAGAGATGGAACAAGAAGATGCACTACAAGGCTCATAGAGATATGATATTGATGTTTCTTCTTCTAGTTAACTTCATGTAGCTAAGAGAGCTATACTGGCTCCTTAGGGACATTGAAAGTTACCTTGTTTAGAACCAAGATCCACAGAAGTGGTTGCCTTCAGGATCTCTGCCACTGCTCTTCTTGTGTACAGGATGGCTGACGCATTCATGTCCACCTTCACGGTCTTGTGGTCAAAAGATAGGTTACTGAGAATTAAGATCAGGGTAATGTCTTTGCCAAATACTGGAGGTTCAGCCAGCTTGAATTTCCCAGAGATCCCAGGGTTTCTAATATTCTCTGAGGGCCTTTCATCTGGAGATTCTGTGTGTCCTTCTGTGATGTTTGGTCCAAATACCTTGGCCAAGGCCTTTCTATAAACTCGTCTTTCCTCAGAAGAACCTGGTCAAAGGAGAGAACCAAGTAAAATTCATACTTGTGTTGTTATCGCTCCTTCTCTGTATAAAGGCTTTCAGAATGATATAGGGTGTCAGCTCTGCATCACACAGAAATATTGCAACACCTGAAAGTTCCCCATACTTTTATTAGGCCTCTGATCAGATTTTTCACAGGCAAATAATAAACATACTGTAATAAGGTGAATAAATCACTAAAATAAAATAAAACGCATTTGTATTTGTTTAGGATGCAGGATTCCTTTTTCTTTGGTCAGAACATGCAGTAATTTGGTGTTACTTTGCCAATCTGATGCTAACCAGTCTCTGTATTAAATACGGTTGCATTAAAACCTTGAGGAGTGAAGTATTGAAATATGACCACTGATTCTGAATGGCAAATGTTAAAAAAAGTTAAATATATCTTCCTCCCTGTGGGGTTTTTTTTTTCCATTTTTTTTGTAAGACTGAGCCACAAACATTAAGCAAACTAATATATGAATTCTGTAACCCTGAATTTAAAAAAGATGGAAAGACATAGGTACCAAGATTTTGAGTGAAGATAAAAATATTCCTGCAAACGTATGGCTGTGCAGTTCTTAACCTTTGTTGTGTTGTTTTCTGAAGTATAGATGAATGGTACTTCATCCTTTACCATTTCCTAGTATTTTGTTTCCAGAATCCAAATGTGGAGGTGAGTCCAGCAGGAGTGCAAACACATTTAACTGATTGGCAAGGTAGCTGATGACTGGATGTCAGAGCAGGAGCACAAGAGAGCCTAACTTGGTGAATTGATACAATCAGAGATGGAGGTTAGTCACTTCTTTTGGGAGTGGGATGTAATGGGGTCTTCAAAAGGAAACATGAGGAATTGGAATGGACACATCAATAAAACAGTTATTTGCAGAGAGAGACTGAGCATGATGTCTTTTGGGAGGTGGATGTCTAGGACTGGAGTTTAAGGTTTTGGATTGGTGGTTTGGTTGTTGCCCTGCTTCTACTGCCAGATGTGGCGGTAAACTAGTATTTATTAATCTATAACTTCCCATACTGCAGACCTGTGCACAGTTCATGATACATGGTGGACTCAGCCTTAAGGCTTTTTGGTATGACAGCTTGAGGGTTTGTCTGCCTTGGGTAATAAAATGTATTTTATAGCCCTCTTTTGTGTATATATTACATGTTGTACTTCTCTGTAAGCAATTAAAATATCTTTTGTATTGCATCTTAATAACGACACTACTAAATACACCATTGTACTAATAATACCAGAAATATAATACCCCTTGTACTAAGAAAGTAGTCTGAGAACAAGGGCAGAAATATTTTCTGAAGGAAGAGGAGAGATACTCAAACAAAACTGGTTACCCATCCTAGCCTAGCACTAGTAATTCAGTAGGAGATACTTGTGATAACTCTTTTACCTTCTGGATATTTGTAACTATAGGTGACATCCACACGGGAATTGCTGCCCACAGCTTTGGTGCTGATAAACCTGCCAATTATTTCGGTATCACAATAAACTCTTTTCTTAGTTCCATCCTTGTATACAATCCATCTGTTGCAATCAGCATTCACCTCCGTATACACAAATAAGGTGTCATAATCCAAGTCTACATCACCTTCTTTGATGGCTATCACAGATGCAGGGCCACACTGAAATAATCCTAAAACATGGGGAGGGGAAAGTCAAATTTCATTAGTCATGCTCAGTTTGAAGACAAAACATTAAATCATGCTGAGAACTTCTTCTGCTACCTTTACTTTGTTCTTGTGGAGTCGCATCCAAAACCTGCCACCCATTGTATGATGTTCCCAGGTCTGGGCGAATGAACCAGCTTTCGTTCCAGACATGATAATCCCTGGAGACAAAGAACAGTGTCTAGAAAGCACAGTAGTATAGAGTCCTACAAACATCCAGTTTGAAAGGAGTAAGGACCTTTTTTTTTTTTTTTAAAGATTCTATAAGATCTGTCACAAGCTGTCTTGTTACAGCAACTCACTGCCTCCTTCGAAGGATAGGTTTACTAGCTGCTTTTGAGGTGTAGACCTCAGGACAGGGAAGGAGAGAATATAGATGTTGGCAGCTTCCTTTGGGAGCAATATGAACTGTAAGTGAAAGACTTAAGTCCTGGATATATGGAGCCGTATGAAGACAGGCTGAGAAAGTTGAGGCTGGTCAGCCTGGAGAAGAGAAGCTGCGTGGAGACCTCAGAGCAGCCTTCCAATATCTGAAGGGGCCCTACAAGGATGCTGGGGAGGGACTCTTCACTAGGGACTGTAGTGGTAGGACAAGGGGTAATGGCTTCAAACTGAAACAGGGGAAGTTTAGGTTAGATCTAAGGAAGAAGTTCTTGACAGTGAGGGTGGTGAGGCACTGGAATGGGTGGCCCACGGAAGTTGTGAATGCTCCATCTCTGGCAGTGTTCAAGGCCAGGTTGGACAGAGCCTTGGGTGACATGGTTTAGTGCGAGGTGTCCCTGCCCATGGCAGGAGGGGTTGGAACTAGATGATTAAGGTTCTTTCCAACCCAAACCATTCTATGATTCTGTATACTTAGTGATTTGGTTTTGTAACCTTCAAATGTGGGAAATGCTTTGTTTAAATAGAAACTCAAAACAGCTATACTGGGTGAGATAAAGTCCAAATAGTCTATCTGTAGTGGTGATGAAAGTTACAGCAGCAGTAAAGCAGTTCAGAAACACGAAAGGTACATAGCTGCATTATTATGAACAGACTGGTTAGGTGCCAGTAACTAAGAGAGCCTTGGGAATGGGTACATTGTCAATGGAAACATACTTTTAAAGAAAATTGTAATTTTTGGAAATCAGGGATTGCAGAAACATTGGGCTAGTTGTTTGTTTGAAGTAACTATTATCTCAAAACCATGAAGAATGTTTTCTTTCCAAATGGCTGTCTAGTGTACTAATTTTGGAAAAAATGTAATCCAGACATCTCTCGGTTGCTTTTGTACTGCTGGTGTTCATGGTTTTAAGTCTCTTAAATCCTCTCTCTAATTACTGGTTAGATTAAAAAAAGAAATCATATTTACCATGTGGAATCCTTGCCGATATTAAGACTCTTTCCAGAGCTGTCATAGTACTTATCAATACTCAGGTTTCTATCCACATCATGGGCAGAGTTAAAATTTGAAACCAAACGAGTAGGAATCCCCAAGCACCTTAGAACTGAAATATATTAAAAAATAATACAAAAAAACCCCAAACAACTCCCAAGCAACACAAACAAAACACACACAGCTTTAGTTTAATGATTGCGTATATCTGAGAAACAAAGTTAAGTGTCTAAATATTTTGTGATTCTTCAGCATTTGCAGTCCTCAGAGCACTTTTCCTCTTGTAGAATTAATTGCTTTGTAGTTTTGATAAAAGCAGAGGTCACAAATGCCTCAATTTCACTACAGTCCTCTTTTCTTAAAGCTTACCTGTACACATCACGCCTGCAAAAACCCAACACTGGCCGTACTGAACAGGCTTGTAGTTGTCCTGACGCCATTTCTGGAGGATTACCACGCTACCATCCCATCTGGATGGATTTTCATCTGAATGGAAACTTCCTTGCCACTTTCCCAGGAGAACTCCATTATCATTATCATTTCCATTGATCTAAAAATAGGCCAATGGACAGAATGCACAAAATCAATTGTATGTAATGCACCATATGTAGTTAATTATATTGCTTAAGGTGCAGGTGGCTGGGCCTCAGTGGTATAACTAATGCTTTCTGCTTAAACATGTGGAATTCAGATTAAGTTGTCCATTTCTTACCATAGAACTGATTACTCGGCCTACATATTTAGGATCTCCTCTTCGGGATACATCAATGGCTGGGTCCTGACGATAGTACAGGCTCAGATCAAGCATGGTGAGGCAGATATTTAGAAGATGATCTTGAAACTGTGATCAAATAAGATTGTGAAAATATTTTCTTTAAAAAACTAAGAGAATTAGAGGAGATTCTCCTGCAGTTCTTGCCTAAAGAAGTGGTAAATGCTCCATCCCTGGCAGTGTTAAAGGCCAGGTTGGACAGAGCCTTGGGCGACATGGTCTAGCGTGAGGTGTCCCTGCCCATGGCAGGGGGGTTGGAACTAGATGATCTTAAGGTCTTTTCCAACCCAAACCATTGTATGATTCTTCCTTTCTAAGATATTCCAGCCCAAAGGTGAAAGAGACAGTGAGGCGCAAAGACAGTGTGCAGTTCAGTGTTACACTGGCTAAAGACATGGCTAAATATTTAAAGCAAAAATCTGGCAGGATGCCTTCTGCCATCCGAATAGATCACTAAAATAAAACTAAAACTGCCCAGTTTATTCTAATTGCAGTTATTAGATTTTCTTGAGTTATATCCCTGGAAACATTCAAGGTCAAGCTGGATGGGGCTTTGAGCAATGTGGTCTGGTTGAAGATGTCCTTGGCTATCGCAGAGAGATCAGACTAAATTATCTTTAAAGGTCCTTTCCAACCCAAACTATTCTATGATTCTGTGTCAGTGTCAGTTCTAGCCCATTGTTACAGCATTACAAAAATGGTGTGTTGGAGGCACACACGTACGTTGCCACTTGTACCGTGGTGCTTTGGTCACAGATGAGATCCACGCTTATACCATGAGCTTCGAGCACATGTAGAAGTCAGTCCTAGCTGCGGTGCTGTGTTAAGCCATCACTCACATGGAGGTCCTGTCAGGCACACAGTGAGCAAACCACAAGCAAGGCTAGCCAGGTTTGTTCAGTCTTCATATAAATAGGCATGCCAATTAGAGGGGCAGGTAATGATAAGAGAAAATGCTATTGCAGACAGAATAAGAGCCTAAATTAATTCCTTATGGCTCACCTGCCCATAGTACCATCCTCTTGCTTCAATGTACTTTGCATTACCCACGAAGATTATTCCATTTTCATTTAGGACGTATTCTTGTCTCTCATTTTCGTTATCCATGTAGACATCATCGCCTGAAACCCAAGTTGGGCATGCTTTCATACTTAAAGCTGAGAGTACTAGCAACCTTTCATAAACATTTGAATCTTGATTTAGCAAGGGGGAAAACTACTATTTGGAAAATGCATTGTTATAGCTCCCTGAACATGTACAGCTCAGTGAAAATGCCTGCTGTGGTTTATGGCTGGGGGCGAGGGGGAGTCCATGTTAAACTAATATAACTTTTTCCCTAATTCTGTTATAGTCTTTGTTATCTAAATATCCTCTATCTGTATGTTGTATTTTTGTGAGGAAGATGGAAAAAAGTCCAGGCTAGCTCACTGGATTTATCTGCCTTCTCAGGGTAGTTAGAATTAAAATAGACATTTTAAAAGAATCACACAGGTGACATTTCTCTCTCTTTTCCCATTGTGTTTGTCTTGTTCTAAGATTCCTAAATGAAAATGGCTACTTGCTTAATCCAAAGTGTTATCCAGAATGTTATTAGGATAGTCTGCTAACCACTTACTTTGATTTTTATTGTTACTCTTTGGTTCCCTAATCTATGGCACAACACGTAGCTGCTATGAAAGCAGATGTTTAGGTTTTGATCACTCTTTAGGTAGCAATGCCTACTTAGCTCGGTGTTTAATTTCATAATATTTAAAATTATTTTCTAAAAGCTTCAGGATTTCAAGAAATACATATAAAAAACAGTTTTTCATGAGTCAGGTTTTTTACCTTCCTATAGGAACATCCCATCCTTCCCTTCCTGCAAATATGAAGATTGTATAATTTATTTTAAAAATGTCACATTATATAAAGTCTCTTTTTGTGGTGGCTGTCCACACTTTTTATTTTTTTATAATAATGTCATTATTAGTGATTCCCAAGCTTTTGGGCCAGTCCAGGCCTGGGCAACTGTGTGCAGCTGCAGGTGCTGCACTTCAATGTGTGGATCAATTGGAAACAGAGGAGCACTGAGAATGCTCCACAATCCTGAAAATACAGCTTACGAATTAAATATAACTTATGAATTAACTCAATTATTAAGGTAGAAAAAAAAAAATGGGGGTGAGGAATGTGGCATGGTAATCAATTCCAGAAATTCTTTTGAAGAGGATAGGGCAGAAAGGGGAGAAAATCTGTTCTTCTTGTCTATCATATGTAGGATGAGAAGTTTTATGCTGAAATCAAAGCAAAAATATTTGGTTAGTTAATAGGAAAAAATTATAATGGAATGGTTAGTGTTTAATTGGAAGGAATTGCCAGGGGAGGTACTGCAACTTCCCTAATGGCTGACCGGTAAGACGGAATTAAAGACCTGTCAGGAATGACCCAAGTGCTAAACGGAACCAGCTTTAGAGCATGGTGTGGGACTCGGTAACTTCCTAAGATCCTTCTAGCCCCATGAGTTTATGATTCTGAGCAATCTAAATGTCCTTCAATAATCACTTGAAGAATATATTTTTTTTCTGATGTTCATATGCTCTCAGTTATAATGTTCTAGAGCCAGTACTTTGAATAAGCTTTTCAGGAGCTGTCAAATATCTCAGTCCCTGCCTGCGGTGTGGTTTTCATCTGAAGTTACATAGAAGTTACACCACGAGTGATCTTTCAAGGGGTTCTGGGAAGGTTTTTCCCAAAAGACTGTCTATGCAGAGGCAGTCTGTGTTTCCTGAACATCATTCTATAAGTATTTCTATCTTTAAGACAGGCTGAGCTAAGTAGCAGCTTTTTTCATCTTGGCTCTTGACACATGTTAGGGGCCCTTGACTAACATAGGGTCACAGAAGAAAACAGTGAATGATTATGGTTACATTTCTTTTATCAGCTGTTTAGTCACCTGGCTGGCTAACAGCTCCCTTAACCTGTGGTATATTTTAAGGCTAATCTTGGTTTCTAGACTATCGCGTGTTTGCAAAACTCTGTGTTTAGGAATTTGCATTTCCCCTGCAACATGCCGAGGCTGCAGAAATAAACAAACAAACAGATAAATAAAAAAGAGCAGCAAGGGGTGTCCCGTTTCAACCCATGATGAAAGACCTGGGAAATGTCAATCTTCCTCACATTAGCCCTCTGTCAGTTCTTACACAGTTAGTTGGGCTATTGTCTTTGCGGTTAACATCTGTAAGAGCAGTCTTGCTTTGATTTAGGTGCAAGTCAAGGATGTTACTGAGAAGTTCATTCATTTATAGAAGTCTGTCAGCCCTCATCTAGAGAAAAGTGATCTGCTCAAGTTCTGAAGAGAGAGTCTATGGTATCACTCCATATAGCACATCTCTCTAGGATAAAAGGGAGGGGAGAGGTGCAGCAATAGCTTCTTAGTGTAGTAAAACCAGATCTCTGAACAGATAGCTGAGACCCAAAGAGAGGCAGCAAGTTCACTGTGCAGATATGACAGCAAATAGGTCAGTTATGTTCAAGAGCAAAGGCACTGATACCTACCTGGGCACCAAGGGTTGAAGAGTAACACAAACTGCCCCAGAAATCTGGAGAAGATCTTGTTCCCCAAGGTTACCTGGAGGATGAGATTGTATCGTCCAATGACAGCATTGGCTGGGCTGGATATTGTAAAGTTCATATAACCAGCCTCACTGGCTCCTTGGACAGCACTCCAGCCACTTGCCCCCACCTCAGAGAGGTTAAATACAGCCTTTGTATGATGAGATTCTGAGGGGGATGGTCCTGCCAGAAAGAAGGGTTAATTGGTTTCCATTCCATTGTCCAGTTTCAATATTAATGAGCACATTAGCCAGGGGAAAGCATTAAAAATACATCAAGAAAAATTGTATCTCTAAAGAGTAAGTGGAGAAGTAAAGGGATAAAGATTGCAGTTCTATGAGAATATGGATCAAGCTAAGGGAGTGTTACCTATTTCAGTGACAAATGCTAGGCTCTCCCCATTCTGCTTTGGTCTGTTGAAGTACAGAGTAATAGTGAAGGCTTGTCCTCGCCTCACAGTCAACTCAGTGTTGGAGTATCTGTCAGTATGGTGTGTGCTTGCATTTACTGATGGCTGCCAGCTGATATGTGTTGGTGTCAGATCTATAAAACAAAAGAAGAGATGAAGATTCTTCCAAATCACTTTTATTAATGCTAGTATCATAAATGCAATGAGGTTGAAGAGAGAGGGGACAGAATGGGGGAACATGACCACCACCATTTTAAAGGGAATTTAAAAGAGTAACAACAACAAAAGTGGGATAGAAAGGCTGGATAAAGCATATGGCACCACGCACTATTATGGTAGGGATCTTCAAACAAGTTCTAAGTCTCTCTCATACCATATAGCATTGCAATGAAATACTACATCAGATCTGAAACAACATTGCTGCGTGTTAAACTACAATTTACACATAATCTTTGAAGAAGTAAAAGTAACATTTAACTTATGAAAAAAAAGTGCCATAATTAAATTCAAGGAAGAATCATTTTTGTCTTTGTAGTCTAAAAGACACGAAGTAATGTGAGCAAGCATTGATGGACTGAAAAAGAGAATCTTCAACATGACACTGTTGGGAGAAGAGCGAACTGCATGCAAAGCAACATTTTAAAAACTGATTTCGAAATGTTTTTTTCATCATTAAACAAGAGAGAACCCTGCTTTGCAATTGCCCAATTCAATAATCATCTTCATTTCCAACTTTAAAAAGCAGAGACACTGTCATTACCACTTTCCTTTGGTAGAGTTTTAATGCATCTTTGAATTCCCATCTGTAGACTCTGTGCCCACAGCTCCAGTTGGATGAAGCTAATTTTGTTAATACAAAGCATAACACATCTCTGAAATACCATGTAGAAATTAAAGAGTTTAGATGGAGTTCTGCATGGTGCCTTCTGAAGCAATGGGCATTTCTTTTCTCTCCTTCCCCCCAGTATCCTCTGCTTAGCTCAAAAATTATGCTCAAACAGGTCTGATATTATAAGGACAACAAAACATTGAAAATTAAGCACAAGAACAAATTACAGTATGAAATGTCTTTCAGGTAAGAGATCTGAGCAGATACCTACAGCGCATGTATCTTTTGGAAACAGTCCTGAATAAAGTACCTGCTGAAGGGAAGCAGATGACATGCAGAACTCACCTGCCATTCCCTCAGCTTATGAGAATTGCATACAACTTCTACTTTGTTCTTCAAGGATGTCCAAGTCACATTAATCATAAAAAACCCCAACAGACCAACAACCAGCAATCTTTTTGTGCTGTCAGCTGAAATTTGAGAGGAGAGGTACTTAGCAGTTGTTATTAATACCTGTAGACTTGTCAAACGAATTAACTAGTTCCTATAATATATGTATGCCTGATGCCAATGTTCCTACTCAACGTGGGTGTAATTATGGGAGGAGATACCAAATTACTTACTCAGAGGAAATGCGTTCTCTTGAATTCCAAGACAAGAAGAACTTCCTACAAAGGATAATAGGTGTGCCATGAATAAGTTATCTTTAAGGATGAGGAAATGGGGAGTGTGGTGGGATGTAAAAGCCATATGAAGGAAAAAGGAACATTTCCTGATTACTTCCAGATTGCTTAATGTCACTTCTGGTTTTGCTAAGTAGCTGTGAGTTGGGTTTAGAGGGGGTTTTTTGGGGTCTCAAATTATCTCCAACCGCCTTCTGACTTACGTGAAATTATCAGCTCCCACCAGAAACAAATGTCTGTTTACCTGTTATGTTGGTCAGCTCTATACTACTCTTTCAGCAAACGTTTTATTTCAAAAAGAACCCACAAACTATTAACCATGAGTAGTTTTTATCAGTACAAACTCTAAGCCTGTCTAGCTTCGCAACTGTGAACATATTTCTGTACCCTCACTTAAACATGTACAGATAATAAAGTAACAGTGTTGCGGCAAGGAATATTTAGCTGTTTAAAATCATGCAGCTCCACTGATCACGTTTTAGCACTCAGTAAAGGCTTAAATAAGTCTGAATTTTAAGTTAGAAAGAAAAACCAACTAAACAAAACCCCACAAACTGGAAGAGCAGCAGCCATTCAGCTCCAAAAGCTGTTTCTAAGGTTGATTTTACAAAAAAGAATAAAAAAAAAATAAAATTCTTCTTGCACCTTTTTGAGAAACACTGTTTGATACCATGAAGAATAGGAACTTATATGACATTCATGCTAGCCCTAGTCTGAAAAAACAAAACCAAAACCAAACTAAAAACACTTTTTCACACTTGGCAGCCATATATCTAGTATGGTGTATCTCCACTTACATTATAATTCAGAGGTTCTTCCTCCTCTTGGAAATTTCTGGGATGTTCAGGGTGTCAGAGCTTGTTCCAGGAACTGCCTCAAATGGATTTGATTGCTGTTCAGAGCTACTTTAGTTGGTCTTTTTCTCTTTTCCTTAATTCGTATTCCTTGGAAACCGTAAGAGCCACAAGCCTCTGATGTTACCTGATCTTCACACACAGCCCTAGTGACAAACCGCATCGACCAGTTCTTAAGTTCAGGTGCTTAGTACTTACAGTGATTGCTTCAGATGTTATACATTGCTCCCACTGGAATATGACGATTTCCTTTCTTCTTCCTTGCTACTCACATAAGTAATTAAATCTCCAAACACTTTTTCTGTCTTAGCTGCAACCACCACCTTTACCTCTGTATGACACACCCACGGCAGTAGTCATGAAGCCACCAGAACCTCTCTTGGACTGGCCTACATCCCCAACAGACACCTGCCATTCCACACCTTCACCACAGTAAAGCATCAGCAGCTGCTTTTGTAATCTCTTTGGAATGCAGTGGTCATGGTTCCTAAGTGACTAATGACTTAACACTGTCGCAGGTGTTTTTCCTAGCTCAATTCCACCCACCTATCATCCAAAATGGTTCAAAGTATTTTGTTCCTCCTTTTTTCCCTTGACATTGTAGTGCAGTTTGCTAACTTTCAGAGAAAAACATGGTCTTCTATTTCATTCATCTCCTGAATAATTTTAGTCTATTGTTCAAGTATTGCACTATCATATCCTCAGGGTAACAAGGCACTTGTATTGTTACTACTCTTTACTAGAAGGAGATCAGTATAACTTCCACAAAAAAATTTGTGGAGTCCCTTCTGTGAATATGTCCAAGTAGGCACACACAAAGAGTCTGTAGTCAATCTGAGCTTGGGCTGCTCAAGTAACAGTGAGGAGTCCCTCTGTCATGTCACAAGTACCTTGTGCTGTGTGGTAGAGGTGGGGCAAATGCTGCCTCCTGGCACTTGTTAAGATCTTACTGGCTTCCTGGTCCAGCAGTCCAAAGTGCAATAGAGCAGTAGCTTGACTTTCCATTCACTTCATCTACAGAGATCATTTTCAGTCAGAGATTGATTTACTGGTATGCAATGATTGGCCATAAACCAAGTCGCTCACTGGGCTGCACCTAGTTCACTTGTTCTTGGAACCCAGCTTTTGGCCTTAAATGCTATCCTTCCATAAGGGGTTGAAGGAAGCTTTACTAAATCTGAATTCTGAAAGATGACTTCCTGATGCACAATCTATGGTGAAGAATTCCTCATTCTTCTCAAGTTAAAATTTAAGATTACCCTCCCTTTGATTCCCAATGAAGACTTTCAGCAAGTGTAAAATAGCAGTGTGCAAAAATACCATGTACGCTGAGCTGAGCAATTATCTCCGTGTTTGTCAAATGGCTCTCAAATTGGGCACCACCCAAATTCTTTTTGAACGTTTCCTATGCTTCATTTGGTCACTGTAACTTACCAAAAAAGGAAAAATGCCAGGACAGATTTTGCAGCAATTAACATGAATTGTGCAATTCATGCTGGCTGCTTTCTAGTGTCATGGTTGCAGTAAGGTGAAACACGGCTTTGAAAGTCCACTGTGTAAGGCTTTGAATGTGTAAGAATGAGTTTATGAATGTTTGTGCAGATACAAAAGAACTATTTCCAAAGAAAAACAGACAAATGTCAAACTAACAGTCTCTGAATAGAAGGTAAGATGCTCTTCTTATCAACATGGACACTCAGAACGGTAAATAAGAAATCAAATATTCCTCAGTTTATTTAAAATTACAGTGTAAAAATTTGGTGATCTGATGTTTGTAACTCCTTATCACAGGAAGCAAGGACTTTGTTTTGCTAATTCTCTCATTATTTTCTTACACAAGATTTCTTGCGATATTTTGTTCAATTTATACACACACCATTAATTGTATATTTTCATGTTAGTCAGTCACATTCACCATCTTAAAGGTCTTGATATCTGCAAATTTATCACAGGAGAAATTAACGAGTAGATGTTTGGGACCCGTCTCAAAAGGGATGAGTTTAAACTTTGTACTGGATTTCTCACTGGCTTTCACTGGTGGTACACTAAAAATAGGAGAAAGAGAGAAAAAAAAAAAAAGGAAAAATATAAGCTGTAAAAAGTCTTATGCTTCATCTTGACTTTCTTAACTATCTCCCATCTCCCATCTTAAGTAACTCCTATCAGTTCAGTGTAGAATGACCATGAAAAGACCATACAGAACTTCATTATTTGATACGTATTTAAATACTCAAACCCATGCTTTAAGGTCTCTCACAAATACATGATGCAGTGACCAAGATAAGCGCACAAAGGTGGACATATTAGTATCATATGAGATAAAGCTTCATGTAGAACAGAGGATGTAAAACACATCACTGAATTATTAAAAAAAAATAATAACCTGACGCTATTAAGAATGTTAATAGAGACTCCTGAATTAGGATAGATGACAGCATCCAAAAAACTTCAGTGCTTACATGGCAGGAAATTCTGAAGGAAAATTAAGATCTTTTAAACCAGTATGTTTTATAATTCTTGGAAACTCATGTTTATGGTTTTTCCAAGCCGCCTTACACTGTCATATTGTCTTGTCTTGCCTGAGGATAAAGTTGTATGTGATAAGACAACATGAGGTTGCTAAGTTCCCTGAGGACAGCTTATGAATTATTGGGTAGGCCATTACTAGTTGCTCAAGCACAAATGGCCATGTTAAGTTGCTCCATGTGTTTGTGTTTGTATGTGTGTGTATTCAGTTAAAAGTCAGTCCATATCCCAGGTATTGTTTAGAAATAACTGCGTTTGCTACCATATGTAAAAATGTGTGTGCAATTTCATACGTGTACAAAGTGGGGGACAGTCTGAAAAACTCTGTTTCAGTTGTGAAATATTTAAAAGAAAAAACCCAAGATGCAAAATCATCAAAGCATAAGAATAGGAACCTGGGATCCATGGTGAAAGGAACCTATTTTATTCCAGTCTTTTCATACACCATTGCAACACCATTTAATAGTTTCTTGACTGTTTATTAATAGACTAGCATAATTATTTTGTAGAGTTCTGAAAGCAGAGCTTGAAAATCAGTGTGCCTGTAGTTTTAGTTCTTGGTTTGGTTTTGGGTTTTTTTTTTTAGATTAAAACCCAACCCAAACTTTAATTGCAATATTCACCATTTTCCCTATTCTCTTTCTGCCTGCCTCATGGATTTCAGCTGTGTCCAAGTTCCATGCTTTAGTAAGGTAAATTCAATCATCTAAGGGATAGCTGGTGGTCATGGTTTAGTCTGTTCTTTAAAATCTGTCCTCCTTATAGTTGTGATTTATTCTGTCTGGAATAGCTACGCATGAAGTATACCTGGAGTTGCACTTTTTAGAGGTATCACCCTTTGTGATCACAACCTGTCTAAACAATCTGTGTTCATTTTTATATACTCGTACATCTGCTTTATATGTGTATGTCTATCTGTTTGATGTAACACAAATCATTCAGAAGGCTGAACACCCAGATTGGCACCTGCAGTCCATTTAATAAAGTGAAGAGGGGGAAAAAACATCCTGGTTAATATATGCTATAATTTGGGTATAGTATGGACAGAAACAGTCACATATCCTATTGTTGGTGCTATTATCAGAACAAGACAGTTCAACCCATCTGGCCTGTAGCAGCATAGACAGCCTCAGCAAAATTTACTGCATGAGTAAGAATGTATTTTTTGCTGAAACTGTGAGTCCTGCTAGATAGGCAGGAAAACAAGTTCTATCCAATTATGACAGCAGTTATTTGACTCCTCAAACTATGGAGCCAAAGCCTAGCTTGAATATGATGGTGCAAAATTG